CCGCGCCTCCGGGGAGGCGAGAGCGCGGCGGGGCCGGTGACCCCCGGCTGGGGAGGGTCCGGTCCCATCTGTACCTGCCAGGAGCCATCCGGGGAGGGGCGGGGGTCACAGCGGGGCCAGCGCGGCCCCACGGCGGGGCAGCATCGCTTTCTGAGAACCGGCACCGCACCCGGCACCGGCACCGCGAGTCCCGGCCGGGCGAGGAGCGGGCTCTGCGGGTGGCCCTGGCGTGGGCCCCGCGGGACCGAGGGCGGAGAGCCCGTCCCGCGGCTGGGGTCCCGGCAGCCGGTCCTCTCGGAGCCGCCCCCGCCAGGCGAGGCCGCGGATCCATCTCGCCGTTAATAATTGATGGCGGGAGCCGCCGGGGCTGCGCGGGGCTGTGGGGCCGAGGCTTTTAGCTCAGCCCTGCTCAGATATTCAGCTCCATTTCCGCGGCACGGCCGGGGCGGCTCCTTCTGGGAAGCGCTGCCGGGAGCTTTCCCGGCCGGAGCCCTCGCTGGGGCTGAGCGAGGCTGGGCTGAGGCTGGACACACTCATGGCCGCTGTGGTGCAGCGTTAGCTCCCCCCTCCATCCCGTCAGGTGAATAGGGACACCCCCAAGGGAGGCAGGGGACCCCTAAGGCAGACAGGGGTCCCTGGTAGATCAGGCAGGGTGAATAGTGGTCCCCTATTAATCCCTCTGGGGTGGGCAGGGGTCCCTGTTAGATCAGGCAGGGTGAATAGTGGTCCCCTATTAATCCCTCTGGGGTGGGCAGGGGTCCCTATAGGGCAGCGGGGGCTGGGTGTTCATGGACTGAGTTCCTGCCTAATGCACCGAGTACATCTGCAAAATCCAATTAACCTTCGATAACGAGGCCCTGAGCGACGTGGCCGTCAGCGGCCACCAGCCACCGGCACGCTGTGGCCCCCGACGGGCACCAGCCCTCCAGGATGGGCAGCACCTGCAGCCCCTAGGCAGGGCAGAGCCCCAGAAAACCCCGGCTGGTGTCGGACCCTGGGATGGTGAGGGTGGGGTACCTTGAGGGTACCCCTGAGGGCGTGGGAGAGGGGACCGGTGTGCCCGGCCATGTGTCCGGTGCCTCCTGGGCACTGCTCCCACTGACCAGAGGGGCTGGAGCTGCCTGTCCTGCCGCCCGAGCGGGGATGGGGGTGCTGTGTGTGCCCCCCGCTCCCACAGCACCCCTTTGCCCCCTGCTCCGTCCCTCACCCCCCACCGAAAGCCCGGGGGCTCTCAGCTCCCGCTCCGCTGGCATCCATCGCCTCTGCAGCCCCCAGCCCAGACTGTGCCCCCCCAGCCCTTCCGACCCTGCTCCCAGACCACGGCGCTGGGGTCCCCAGAGGGTTTGAGGGGGGTGGCCCGTGATACACCCCCAGTCCGGACCCGCAGTCCCCCCTGTCCCCCGCCGCAGGGGCCGCAGCCTGGCGGTGCCCGGGGGGAGCAGCCCCCCCAGCAGCCGCTGTTGGCGTCACCGTGCAGCCCACGCACCCATGTGGCACCCGGCTCCTCCCCGAGGACACCGCGCAGACGCCGAGGGCCACCACCGTGACGTCCGAGCGGGCGACTCGGCCGTCGGGTCCGCGGGCAGCCCGCGGGGGCCATCGCACGACCCCATCCCAACCCCACAGCGGTCCCATCCCGGCTCCATCCCATCCCCATGCCGGCCCCATCCATCCTCATGCCAGCGCTCCCGCCGTGCCAGCCGGGTCGGGGTGGGCACCGCGCCCACCGGCTGCTGCCGCCTCACCCCGCGCACCCCGTCCGGGTGCCGGCGCCCACGGCGGGCGGGCGGCGGGGGGCACCGGGAGTGTTTCATGCGGTTAAGAAGTGTCTGATTGAGGCAGGAGGCGCCAGCAGCTCCCCCGGGAGCCGCAAGCCAAGGACTGGAGGACCAAATGCAGGCTAAAGTAATCCAATCTGGGCTGGTTCATCTAATTAGCCCAGAATTAACCCAGCAGCCAGAGAGGAGCTGACTGTCCCTCCAGTTTGCCAGCGGGTTTGGGGGGAAGCGGGAGGAAGAAGGGGACGTCCAGCGGTAATGAGATTACGGGGGGGAGCGGGCGGGAGCGGGTGCGCGGCAGCCTCTGGCCGGTGGCAGCGTGGGGCCCCGCCAGGTCCCCGCCGCGCCACCGCCGTGATGGCCGGGGCACCGGGGACAGGCACGGACCCGTCCCAGCGACCCCCGCCCCGGCAGCAGCCTCGGAGCCCGCGGCGTCCCCGTGGGGGACGGGAAGCACCGGCACGGGCGGCACCGGGGACGCGGCACCACGAAGCCGCGCAGCTGCACCGGCAGCCCCGGGGCCACGGCAGCTTCGGGCAGCACCTCCGTGGTGGGGCGGGCAGGGGCCGGACCCCACAGACCCCATGCGTGACCCCCTGCTCCCAGGGGCAGAGGGGCGTGGAGGGCGCGGGGCGGGGAGATGCTGGTGCGGCTCTGGCGGTGGCAGGGCCCGGTGCTGCGCTGGCTGAAGGCTGATTCCCTGCTGGAAATGGGCAAATGCCCTTTCTTCTGCCGCATCCCCTCCAGCTGACACTGCCACCCACGAGAACCGCCGGGCCCAGCCCCTTGGGGTGGCAGGGGGGACACAGAGGACACAGAGGTCCCTGCTGCGGCCGAGAAATGAGGAGGGGTCTGTACTGGCCCAACTTGGGGGGTTCCGGGTGCAGGGACCCTGCCTGGTCCCCACGGTGGCTCAGAGGACCCTGGGCCAGGCACAGAGACACGGCCTCCTTCCAGGTGGCCCAAGGGTCACTGGGAAGGCAGAGCCAGCGGCACAAGGTGGTGACACCTCGGCTAGTGGGGCCCCTGGGAGGGAAACACCTTGCAAGGGTGGGAAGGGGCTCAGAACTCCTTGAGCACCCTCAGTTCTTCCCCTCCCTCCCTCCCTCCCTCCCAGGGCAGCCCTGGCTGTGTTGCTGGAAGCTGCCGGGCAGGGGGGGCTGCTCCGGCCGGGGGTGCTGCCTGCAGACCCCCGTGGGCGTGGGCGGGCCCTGGCGCAAGCAGGCGCCGGGAGATCCCGCATTGCCCCGGGCCCCGTCCCAGCCCCCCAATCCATCTCCCAGCCCGGCAGATTCCAGCCCCTGGGCACGGCAACATCTGCCTCCTGCTCCGGGTTCAATTAACCTGCTGCCGCCTCCTCCTCCGGCACCGGCCATTTCCTCCCGCTGCCACTGTCACCGCCACTGCCGCCACTGTCACCGCTGTCACTGCCACTGCCGCCGCCATGGCTGCACCCCACGGGGTCACAGCGGGTCCCTTTGCCGCAGCAGACCCGGAGCCGGTGGCTCTTTTCAGGTGGAAAAGCCACAGTGGGAACCCTGGGATTCGTCCTAGCACCTGCCGGGCTGCGAGCAGGGAACGCCAGATATCCGTGTCGCCTGCAGGGCAGGGTCCCGGTGCTGTGTCCCCCTCCCCTTCTGGGCACACGAGCCTCCGTCGGTGCCCCTGGTGTGGAGAGGAGCAGCTCGGCCGTTCCCGGTTCCGGGGTGGGCTGTGGGCATGGCCGAGGGTGGCACAGGCGTGTGCCCGTGCAGCCCCGATTCCCGCTGCCCCACACCCCGGCAGAGCTGGGACGGGCACCCCACACTGCGGCGAGCCTGGCACCGCCCGGTGCCCCCCGGTGCCCCTGGGATGCGAGGTGCCCCGGCGTGTGCGGTGCCCCCGGTGCGGCAGCTGCAGCCCCCGGTGCCGCCGTGATTTACAGGCGCAGGCCCCGGTAATGTCATTTGCCCCAGACCGGTGGCGCCAGCGTGCCCGGGAAGCCGCCGCCGCCTCCGCCCCGCCAGCCCCTGTCCCGGGGCCGTGACCCGCCGGGAACCCACCCGCGGGGCGCCGCGTCGCTGTCGCGATAGTCGTCGGAAGACCCGACCGAGCCAGTGCCGCTCTCCGCTGCCGTTACCGACGGGACCGGGCTGGGCTCTGTGACCGGGAAAGGCGGGCGGGGAACAGGGGTCCATCCCGGGGAACGGCGGGTCGGGAACCGGGGTCTGTCTCCGGGAATGGCGGGGCCGGGGGTGTCGGACTCCATCCCCCTGAACGGGCTGGTCCGTGGAAAACGGGGTCCATGATCCCGGGAACGGCAGGTCCCGGGAAGGGGGATTTATGGCCCGGGAACTGAAGGTCGGCATGGGGTCGGTGCCCCGGGAGAGGGCGGTTCCCTGGGAACTGAGACCCCAGCTACCGGCAACGGCGGCTCGAGGAGATTGGGATCCGTGTCCCGGGACGTGTCCGTGCTCTGGGAACAGCGGGTCGGAACAACCCCTGGATCCCCGCACCGGGCGCGTTGGCTCCGGGGCCGCCAGATCCATTCGCTCCCGTACGGACGGGCTCGGTGCGAAGCCTGCGCACCGCGGCCGCCGGTCCGTGCGCACCGTGAGAACGGCGCTGGGGCAGGGGCCGCTTCGTGCGCCCCGGGAAGGGCGGCTGGAAGCGCCGACGGGGCTGTGGACGGAGCGGGGACGCGAAAAGGCGCCGCGCTGCTTCCCGATGCGACAGCGGCTCCGCCGGACCGGGTAGGCGCTCCGGCGGACGCCCCTGCGGGGAGAACGGGTACGGAGCCCGTCGGTGCACGGGGGGCGTTCGGGACCCGACGGGCCCGTCCGCTTGTCCCGGAGCCGGGGCGGGGGCCCGGAGCGGCGGGGGCGGGGGGGGTCCCGAGGCGGGGGCGGGGCCCCGAACTGTCAATCACGGGGCGCGGCCGCCAATCAGGGCGCAGGCGGTGGGAGTTCGGCCGGTCCGGATGGAGCGGGGCAGAAAAGCGCGTCCCGCCAGGGCCCGCAGCCCACCCGCGCTCCCGCCCCGGGGCCGCCAGCGGCTGCGAGCCATGCCCCGCACCCTGCCCCGGGCCCGCACCCGCACCCGGCACCTGCCCCGCACCTTGCTCCGGGCCCGCACCTCGCACCGCGTCCTGCCCCGCACCGGGCGCTCCGTGCCCGTCGCCGCCGCCGCCCCCCGCCGCCCCCCGGCCATGCCCGCGCCCCGCCGGCTCTGAGCGCGGCCGGGATGGAGCGGGAGGGCGGCGGCCCGGGGCCCCCCGCGCCCCACGAGCCCATCAGCTTCGGCATCGACCAGATCCTGGGCGGCCCCGAGCCCACGGGGCCGCACCGGGCGGCGGCAGAGCCCGACTACGGGCTCTACGGCAGCGGCTACGGCCCCACCGGTCCGCTCGGCTCCTACAACCTCAACATGAGCATGAACGTGAGCGTGAACGTGACCCCCGCGCCCGCCGCGCCTCCCGCCGGAGTCATCCGCGTCCCGGCGCACCGGCCCGCGCCCGCCCCGCCGCCCGCCGCGCCCGCCGCGCCGCCGCCGGGGCCCGCGCTGCCGGGGCTCACGTTCCCGTGGATGGAGACCACGCGGCGCATCGCCAAGGACCGGCTCTCAGGTGAGCGGGCGGGACGGCCGCTGGCGGCTACCGGCGGCTACCGGCGGCTGTTGACGGCTCCGGGCACTCCCGCGGCACCGGCCGCTCCCGCGGTTCCGTCGGGGCAGTGCGGTCCGGCGGGCACGGCGCGGGTCGGGGCGGGCGCAGGGATCGGACGGGGATGGCGGGGACCGTGCGCTCCACAGGTTCCCGCAGCGCCCGGTGCTCGCCCGCCGCCGTCGGGGCCCGCGGGAGCGGCTCGGGGTAGACGCGGCTACCGGCGGCTCCACCGCGGCACCGGGTATGGTCCGGTGGCTCCGGGTGGAGCCCGGGGGGTCCCAGCAGGCTCCGGTCTCGGGCTTTACTCCGTGTCTGGTCCTGTGCCCGGTTTGGAGGTGCCGGTGGCGACGCTGTGACACCATAACGGGGAGGCTGTGGGGAGCCGGGTGTGGGGTGGGTGCGGAGTGGGGGCTCTGCAGAGTGGGGTGGGGGCTCTGCGGGTGTGAGATGTGATGTGGGGGCTCGGAGGGGACACGGTGCAGGGTGGGGGACCCACCGTGGGACTGAGGACAAAGCCCACCCATGCACAGAGCAATGTCCTGTGCCTTGTGAACCCCGAGAATGGGGATGGTGGTGCAGGGGTACCCGGGGGGTGCCTGGGGATGGGATCACTGATCTGAACGTGCAGGGATCGGTGTGGAACACACAGAGCCAGCGCTGTGGGAGAGGCCAGGGCAGCCATGCGGGGTTGTGGAGGTAGTGAGGGGTTGAGGTGCTGCTGGTGTGGCTGGGGCTGAGCGCCCTGGTGGGGGCTGAGCAGCAGTGCTGGGCTGGAGGTGCTGCTTGCTGCACCCCACAAGCAGGAGGGGTGCTGAGGTTGGGGTCCCGGGCACTGGGACTGTATGTGGCTGCTGGGGACCCCCGGCCTGGCTCAGCTCTGCTCCCGCCCAAGATGGCGGCACTGCCACGTCCACAGTGTGTGGCCGCATGCGGGGACAAGGCTGGAGGCCGTGTGGGGCTGGGGGCTGAGTCCCGGCCGTGTGGGCCATGGGGGGGTCTGGGGCAGGACACTGGGGACCCTGGGGGTCCCACCCGGGCGCCAGCAGAACCGCGTTCGCCTCCCGGCCCACCCCGCCATGGCAGCGGTGACGAAGCACGGTCCCCGCGCAGGGGTGGCGGGTGACGTCCTCGTCTCCTGCCTGGCGCCAGCGTTGGGTGGATGGGGCAGCCCCTCCCCAGCGCGGGGTCTCTCAGCCGCAGCCATCACTCAGCACCTCGGCCTTGGGGTGGGCTGCAGGCAGGAGGCAGCTGGTCCCGGTGAGAGGCCGCCCATGTGGGGAGGGGGCTCAGGGGCCTCTGTGCCCCCCGGCTGCACGGCTCCATCTGCTCAACCGTGCCCTGCACGGCTCCACCTTCCCCAACCATGCCCTGTACGGCTCCACCTGCCCCAACCATGCCCTGCACGGCTCCACCTTCCCCAACCGTGCCCTGCATGGCTCCATCTGCCCCAACTGTGCCCTGCACAGCTCCATCGGCTCAACCATGCCCTGCATGGCTCCACCTGCCCCAACCGTGCCCTGCACGGCTCCACCTGCCCCAAGCATGCCCTGCACGGCTCCACCTGCCTCAACTGTGCCCTGCACGGCTCCACCTGCCTCAACTGTGCCCTGCACAGCTCCATCTGCTCAACCGTGCCCTGCACGGCTCCACCTGCCCCAACCGTGCCCTGCATGGCTCCACCTGCCCCAACCGTGCCCTGCACAGCTCCATCTGCTCAACCGTGCCCGTCCCCCTGGCTGCAAGGCTCCTCCAGCCCAGGCGGCCTCCTGGGCATGGGTGGGAGGATCTGTGGGTGTCAGGGAGTCCCTGGGGTGCTGTGGGCTGTGCCCTATGTCCCTATGTCCCATGGTCCCGGCCATGTGCAGCCCTGTCCGTGTGGTGTGGCCCTGGTGACGGCTGTGGTGCCATGGCACCATGGGGATGTGATGCTGTAGGGTCATGGCTTGGCAAAGGTTGCTGCCAGAGCAGGAGGGGTGCAGGCATTGGGGGCTGGCCCTGCCAAACCTTCGCTTTCCTCCATGCTGCTCTGATGCTCCCTGCAGCTCCAGCAGCTTCTGGGGCTGGGATGTGGCATGTTGGCCTCACCAGGGCTGGGATGTGGCACTTTGGCCTCACCAGGGCCGGCTCACACCTCAGCTGGGCAGGGACATCCCCTTCCCCAGCCCATGGAAAGAGACACTGTCTGCCTCCCAACAGCTTCTGTGGTCCCATTCCCTCACGGCAGAGCTGGGCAGTCCCTGCAGTGCCCCGGAGGCTCTTTGGGCTCGCTGTGAGGGGAGGTTGGGTTTGTGCAGCCGGGCTCGATGGTCCTGCATCAGTCCTGTGACCGGGCCAGCCCATCCACCCCGACATTCCAGTGCCGACCGCAGGCTGGGGGAGTGACTGTGCTGTGGGGTATGAACGGGGATGGCTCCTCTCTCATGCCATGTCTTGAGCTGCCCGCATGTCCCCAAAGTGGGGTGTCCCCCTCCCCTACTCTCCCAGGCAGCACTGGTGGCTCCCCTGGCATTCCCCATCCCCATGTGCCCCCTTGGCCCGGAGCCCCCCGCCATGCCCCAGGGTCCTGCCCTGCTGTGCTTTGCTGGGATGACCCCCACCGCCCCCTGACGCCGCTGTCCCCACAGCCGCGCTGTCGCCCTTCGCGGTGACGCGGCGCATCGGGCACCCGTACCAGAACCGGACGCCGCCCAAGCGCAAGAAGCCGCGCACGTCCTTCTCCCGGGTGCAGATCTGCGAGCTGGAGAAGCGCTTCCACCGCCAGAAGTACCTGGCCTCGGCCGAGCGTGCCACCCTGGCCAAGGCCCTCAAGATGACGGACGCCCAGGTCAAGACCTGGTTCCAGAACCGCCGCACCAAGTGGAGGTAACAGGGACAGCCCTGGGAGAGCAGGGCTCTCAACCGTGATGCTCACACCCCTCTGGCAGACATCCCAATATCCCTCTAACAGCCACCCCTATGTGTCCCTCTGGCAGACACCCCAATATCCCTCTGGCAGACACCCCAATATCCCTCTGGCAGACACCCCAATATCCCTGACAGCTACCCCAATAAATCCCTCTGGCAGCTACCCCGTATCCCTCTGGCCAACACCCCAATATTCCTATGACAGCCACCCCATATCCCTCTGGCAAACACACCAATATCCTTCTGGCAGCCACCCCAATATCCCTATGCCCCAATACCCCTGTTGCAGACACCTCAATAGACACCCTCTGACAGCCATCCCAATATCCCTCTGACAGACACCCCAATATCCCTGACAGACACCCCAATACCCCTATGACCCCCATATCCCTCTGGCAGCCCCAAACCCCACATCCCTCCAGCAGCGAGCCCCACATTCTGGGAGAGGCTGGGACTGGGATGGACTGGGGATGGATGGCATCACCTTGGCCTCCCCTGTGCCCTCTCTGGTGGCACTGTGGCACGTGTCCCACGGCAGCAATAAGGGGACAAGGGACAGTGCCATCTGTGTCCGGTGCCAACGCTGTGTGCGTGTGCAGGCGTCAGACGGCGGAGGAGCGCGAGGCCGAGCGGCAGCAGGCCAACAGGCTGATGCTGCACCTGCAGCAGGAGGCTTTCCAGAAGAGCCTGGCACAGCCGCTGCCCCAGGACCCGCTCTGCATGCACAACTCCTCCCTCTACGCCCTGCAGAACCTCCAGCCCTGGGCCGAGGACAACAAGGTGACGTCGGTCTCTGGGGTGGCCTCTGTGGTGTGAGGGCGCTGCTGATGTGCTGGGAGGTGGCACCAGGAGCCCGGTGGGCTCTGAGCCTGGAGCGTGGCAGGGAAGGGGCTGCAGCTTCCTGAGAGAGAGCCCCGCACTGGCAGCCCCCTCCCTGCCATGGAGAGCCCCCCAGGAACACCCAGGAGTGAGGTCGTGCCCCTGTGGCTGGACTCAAAGCTTCACCAATCCCCATCTGGAGCACTGCGGTGGGCAGCCCCCTGCCTGGACCCCCAGGAGCCCAGGGCTGGGCCCCCATGCCCTATGGACCCCCAGGAGCCCAGGGATGGGCCCCCATGCCCTGTCAACCCCCAGGAGCCCAGGAATGGGCCCCCATGCCCTATGGACCTCTGCAGGCCCCTGCCTGCCCCCCAGGAGCCCAGGGCTGCACCCCTGCACCCCACAGATGGCTGTAGCGCCCTGCTCAGACCTGTGGGAGCCAAGGGCTGGGCCACTACACCCCCTGGACACCTGCAGCTCCCTGCTTGCAGCCCTGGGAGCCCAGGGATGGGTCCCCACACCTGGCAGGGCTCTGCAGCTCCCCCACCAGCAGCTCCATGGGCTCCACAGCCTCCAGCCCACCTGGAGCAGGGCGTGGAGCTCCCGTTCCTGGTGCTGGAAGCCCCCCACGCTGGCAGCGGGGTCTGCACCACCCGCACCACTTTGCCTTATCCCGGTCGGAGTTTGCCACCTCCGCCTTCCATCTGTGCACAAAGGACTCGGCCAGCCCGGCCCCACCCCGTGGTGGGACAGACTGACAGCCTGGCCCCCTGGCCCTCCTCCCGCTGGTCTGTCAGCTCCCAGGGCCTGGACATGCCCGTGCAGCCCCTGCCATGGGGTGCCTGCTTGGGGTGCTCCCCATCCCAGTCCCTGACTGCCCCCGGGTGTCACCTCCCACGGACTGAGCCTGGGTGTGACCCACAGGACACTCGTGGGGTGCAGAGGGGCTGAATCCCCCCCTTCTTCTGGCAAATCTCTGCACCCCCTCCCCAGTGACCCCCTAAGTGGGGGTTCCCCCCTCCAGGACCATCCAGCCCGACTCCAGCCTCTGTTGATGATGATGGAGGGGATGAAGGGGGTGTGTGTGTGTGTGGGGGGGGTTACAACGGTGACCTTGACCCTGAACTCGACCTTGCCCCCACCCCGGTGCCACCCGCGATGCTGCAGCCCCTCACCCCCCGTTTGGGGGACACGCTTCTCCCCTCACCCCCCGTTTGGGGGACAGGCTTCTGCGGGCTCCCCCTCTCCGCTGCTACCGGGAGGAGTCGTTCACCCGGTACCGACGGGATTGGCTGCGGTTCCGTGACGCGGAGGGGTGGAACCGCATTACCACCGGGATGAGCGCGGCCGAGGGCCGGCCCCGGTGCCGCTGGGCCGGCGGCGAGGCGGTGCTCCGTGCCCGTGCCGAGGCCGCCGGTTACCGGAGGCTGCTGCGAGCCCGAGCCGCCGAGGTGGAGGCGTTGCGGGGCGCGGTGGGCGCCTTACACCGGCAGCTGGAGGGGCTGCGGGACCGGCGGAGCGGGGAGCTGGCCAAGTACCAGGTGCGGGATTGGGGGACGCCCGGGGGGCTGGGAGGGAGCGGGGGTGGGGGCTGGGATGGGAGGAGGAGGAGGAGGAGGAGGAGGAGGAGGGGGGTGGATGTTTGGAGCTGGATGCCCGGAGGGATGGGGAGAAGGGGGGGGTGGGCATGGGGAGGGGCGGGGGTCAGGGGTCCCGGTGGAGGTGGGGGGCCCCGGGAGGGGTGGGGGAGTTCCAGTGGGACCGGGAGCGGGGCTTTGTGTGGGTCGGGCCGCCGGGTGTCGGGGCGGGGTTGGGGGTCCCGTGGGTCCATGTGGGGTGGGGGCCGTGTAGGGCGGGGATCTGCGGAGTTTCCAGGGGCTGGGTCAGGGGTGCCGGGAGTCTGTGCGGATCGGGGGTCGGGGGTCCCTGTGGGGGTCTCTGTGTGCGGGGGACCCCGGGGGTCGCCCCGCGGTCCCGGCGCTGCTGACGGCCCGGCTCAGGAGCGGGTGGCGGAGCTGGAGCGGGAGATCGGGGCGGCGGAGGCGGAGATGGCCCGGTGCCTGCGGGAGTACCCGGCGCTGCTGCGGCTGCGGATGGCGCTGGAGGCGGAGATCGCCGCGTACCGGTACGCGAGGGGGGCGCGGGGGGCACGGGGGGCGAGGGGCTTAGCCCGGCCCTTCTTTTCCAGGGAGATGCTGGAGAGCGAGGAGCTCCGCCTGGGCGGCTTGGCCCCGCCGTGAGCGGCGCCCCGGAGCCCCGGTCCCGCCACCGGAGCCCGGCCCTGCCCTTCCCACCGGAGCCACGGTCCCGGGACCGGATCCTCAGCCCCACCACCGGACCCCGGTTCCTCCGTCGGACCGCAGACCCCCGATTCCTGCACCGCGGTTCCCTGGGACCCTCGGGACCTCTCTGGACTGACGGAGCCCCGGTCCTTGTGTCCCCCCGTTCCACGGGTGCCCCGGACTTGTGCCCGCCTGGCCCGGGAGCCCCGGGAGGGCAGCGCCCGTGGGGTCTCACACTCACCAGCCTCTCCGGGGCGGGGGTCCCGGCCCAGACCCTGTGGAAGCACCTCAATAAAGCCCCGTGGCATCACCCAGAGCCGGCCCGGCTGGATGGGGGTGGGCAGCACCCCTGGCTGTGCTCCAGGGGTCTCTGGTGGGGTGGGGGCTCCGTGGGCTCAGGGAGGGGTCTGGGTTCCCTCCTGCCTGGTGCAGCCCCTCACCCCCGAGCTGGGCACGGCACGGGGACACTGAGGGTGGGGCCACAGCGTCGGTAGGAACTGAGCCCCCCCAGTGGTGATGGGTGGGCCCTGATCCCCCCCACACTGTCAGCGGCACTTTGGGGTCAGGATGGGGGATCCTGCTCCCTGGGTTCTGGGGATGGGGTCAGGATGGGATCCTGTTCCCTGGGTTCTGGGGATGGGGTCAGGATGGGATCCTGTTCCCTGGGTTCTGGGGATGGGGTCAGGATGGGGGATCCTGCTCCCTGGGATGTGGGGATGGGGTCAGGATGGGATCCTGCTCCCTGGGTTCTGGGTGTGGAATCAGGATGGGATCCTGCTCCCTGGGATGTGGGGATGGGGTCAGGATGGGATCCTGCTCCTCGGGATGTGGGGATGGGGTCAGGATGGGATCCTGCTCCTCGGGATGTGCTGCTCCTGTGCCTGGGGACATTGTCCCACCACAGTTCCCAGAAAGGAGGCTGAGCTGGGAGGGTTTTTGAGGGCTGGGGGAGTTCAGGGAACTGAACTGGGCAGGGTTTTTTACTCCACCTGTCCCCAAGCTGGGCTGGAGCACGGGTGGAGCCTGTCCCAGCCATGCAGATGGACCCCAGGGCTGAGTTTTGTGCTGTGGGGGCCCAGCACCTCCCCTCCCAAAGACACCGAGCAGAGTTTGTGGTGGCAAAGCAAATCCCTGAGTTTTATTAGGGGAAAAAATCCTTTTCCGAGCTGTGAAGGGATGGGGGTTCTGGGTAAAGGAGGTGCCCGCTTGTGGGGTCGGCACCCTCCAAGCCGCTGTTATTGGGGTGCCTCGAGGCCCATCCAGGCGCTCCAGGGGCTCCAGGCCGGGGGGGTGTAGGGGTCCCGGCAGCTGATTCGCACCCGCCCCGCGCCCGCCAGCACCGGCGTCTCCTCTGCACCCTCCACGAACTGCTCAACCTGCAAAGGGGGCAGGGCACGGTCTGGGGAGAGCCTCGGGGAGGGGGCACAGCACCCCCCGAGCCCGGCAGCGCTGGGGGGAGCAGCGGTGACAGCCTGGGGTGACAATTCATCAGCCCGGGAAGGGAAGCAGCAGAGTGAGGAGGGGCCGTGGCTGAGCATCTTCCCAGGGACAGCGAGGAGTCAGGGAAGGGGCAGAGGCAGGGTGGGCACATGGGGCAGCCTGTGTTGGTCCACCCTGGGCACAGACCCCCCCCCCCCCCGTTACCTGGGTGCCGTTGTGGAGCTCGTACTGCAGATGGTAGAGCAGTGCAAAGTAGGATCTGGGGAGCGGCCAGGAGGCCGGGGGGGCCCAGGCCAGGTGGAGCTGCTCCCCCTGCTGCTTCAGGATCAGCTCCTGGGGCGGGTCAGGACGCACTGTGGACAGAGGGGGGCTCAGAAAAGGGGCCGAGACCCTCCCCCCGGAGCCTCCAGTGCCTCTTGGATGCTCCCACCCCGCTGCCCCTGCCCTGAGCTCACCAATATCACGGAGGAAGAAATGCCTGGAGAGGTTGAGGTAGGAGGTGTCCGAGAGCCCCTCCAGGTGGAGCTGGAGCGGGCGCAGCTCCTCCCCGAAGGGGCAGAACAGGGGATCTGCCAGGTTGGCGTTGAACCGGCCTTGGTCACCAGCCACGGGCACCCAGGGCCCCACGGAGCCATCGCTGTGGGCAGGGAGGGGTGGGCAGCTCTTAGGGCGGGGTGCCCGTGGTGCTGCCGTGGGTCTGGGGGGTCCCAGGGCACCCACCTGCGGATGAGGCGGGCACGGAAGATGGCAGAGGCGGGTCCGGGCCAGGAGCAGTGGAAGGAGCCGTTGTAGGACTCAGCCTGGCAGGACACGTTGATCTCCTCCTCGCCTGAGGGGTTGAGGGGTGGCTGGTCAGGGGCTGCATGAGGCCAGGAGTGGTGCCCACTCCCTTCAAGGGGCTCCCCACAGCTCCTCATGCCCATGGGCTGGGCACCAGAATCCCCTGGTCCTCAGCCCTCCACCCCTGCCCCCCATCAGCCCCAGCCATGCCCCTCCTTACGGGTGTTCCTGACCACCACGTAGGTGGTGTCCAGCAGGACAGGGCCAGCCCAGCAGCTGTAGTTGCCCGTGGCTGGCAGGTCCAGGCCCAGGATGGTGAGCTTCTGGCCCTCAGGCACCAGTTCAGCCATGGGCTCCTCATCCCCGTTCAGGGTCCAGGAGATGTGCTGCTCTGAAGTGTCACATCGCACCACCACGTCCTGGTTGAGCTTCCCCACCTGGACTGGAGGGGAGAGGCAGAGCCAGTGGTCAGAGATGGGCTGTGGTGGGGGCAGATTGTTCCCCAAACCGCCCATGGGTGGTGGCCTCACAACAACCCTGTCCCACAGTCCTGGACTCCACATCCTCACCCCATACCCACCCCACATCACCCTCATGCCCACCCTCCAATCTCCCAGCAGAGCTGTCCCAGCCCCTATCAGAGGGATGTGGGTTTGGGATGCCCCCCACTCCCTCTGCAGTCCCTGTCCCCGCCAGGTTTCCCCTCCAGGCCTCCCCTGTGCCCCAGGGACAGCACTCACACTTTGGGGGGAAGGCAGTCAGGGCTTGTGCAGGCACCAGGAACAGCAGCAGCCCCAACAGCACCAGCATCTGGGAAGGGAAAGGGCAGGGAAGGGCAGCCCCAGCTGGACATCACCCAGGAGAGGGGCAGCCAGGGCAGAGCCTCCAGCCCTGGGAGCAGCACCCCCAAAGCAGAATCCCCCCCAGCCCCCCAGTCTGTGCCTACCTCTGCCTTGTCTCTGGTGGGCTCAGCAGAGCCGGGGGCTGCACTTTTATACTGGGCTGGGCTGTGTGGGGCTGCCCCAAGGTGCAGTCACAGCAGCATCACACTTCTGAGAACTACAGGATGAGACCCACGCTCAGCCCTGTCCCTGCCTCCCACCCACAGCACTGCTGGTATTTCCCAGGGGGGCAGGGGGCACAGACACCCCCTGCCCCTGAATGCCAGAGGATGAGGCACGCTGGGAACACCCAGGCAAGGGGCAGCACTGGGCATCTGGGATGGTGTTGGGGTTTTGGGTGGTCCTAGCTCTCTCAGAGGGGTCCTGCAGCACCTGAGGGTCTGCACATCATCACTGTGTGCTGCACAGGACCCCCACAGTGCCCTGCTGTGGGGTGGGGGCACCTGTGGGCTCTCTCAGCACCTGTGCTGGGGGTCTGGAGAGGGGCAGCTCAGGGCTGGGCCCCTCTGGGTGGGTTGAGGAGAGGGGAGGGTTGCCACAGAGGTTCAGGGTGATGCCTCCAGCCTGGCACAGGTTGGCACACCCCTTCCCTCCCCTCCTCGTGCCAGTGTGTCCCATGGGATGCTGTGCAGAGATGAGGACGTAGGGACAGAGATTATCAGGGTCACCAGCTGCCCCTTTGCCACCCCACTGGTGCCAGCCCATGCTGAGGGCACGCAGCAGAGCCCGTCCTGGGGAAGGCAGTGCTGTACCCTTTCACGTACTTTCTGCAGTTCCTAGAAAGCAAAGAGGGAACTGGGGCTGTGGGAGGCTGGGGGAGCCCAGCTCTCACCTTTTGAGGCCAGGACAGGCCAGTGGGACCTCCAAGGCCCCTCCCTGAGCTGAGCCAAACCCCTGTGTGTGGGCTGAGGGGTGGGGATGGGGAGCCAGGACCCCCAGGGCTCCTGCAGCAGCTCAGCCCTTGGCTGTAGCACTGTAGGGAACCCCAAAAGGAGAGGGAGGGAGGGAAGGGGTGCCTTGCCCTGGGGTGCCCCCGTGCCCTGCCCTGTCTGGGCGAAGCAGGCACTGGCAGCAGGCTGGGGGCCTCGCTCGCCCCCATCTCACCAACAAGAGCTTCCCCTTGGCTTCTGCAGAAGAACCACAACCACGGAGGGGAAGTCCTGAGGCAAAGGCCAGGGATGCCCTCAGAGCCTCAGCATGGCTGGAACCCCAGCCTGGCACCCGAAACATGGGTGGGAGGGGACAGAGGCTTCACGGACAGAAACCATTCCTGGGAGACAGGAGGAGCAGGGACAGAGCCCACCCTGGCCAGACCCCGCTGCGGTGATGTCCTTTGACAGGACAGAGGAACCCTGGCTGGATCCCTCTGTGGTGATGTCCCTGGGTAGGATGGACCCCACTCTGGCTGGATCACTCTCTGGTGATGTCCCACAGCAGGATGGACCCCACCCTGGCCAGACCCCTCTGTGGTGATGTCCCACAGCAGGATGGACCCCACCCTGGCTGGATCAGTCTCTGGTGATGTCCCTCAGCGGGATGGACCCCACCCTGGCCAGACCCCTCTGTGGTGATGTCCCTGGGCAGGATGGACCCCACCCTGGCCAGACCCCTCTGTGGTGATGTCCCACAGCAGGATGGACCCCACCCTTGCTGCAGTCACGGACACGAAGCCAGGAGCAAAGGTCACAAAACTTTATACAGGAGGAGGGACCCGTGCGTGGCCCCTCGGCCCCGGCGTGGGGGGAGTGGGACAGGCGATGCCTCCAGCCCCGCAGCACCCCCGGGAAATACGGGGTGAAGGAGCCCAGTGGGGAGGGCCCACAACACTCCCCCGGCCGGGGCCAGCGCTCCCCAATCCACGCTCTGAGGTGCCGGGGTGGTCCCACGGCCGCTGGCCCACGATTGACCACGGTACAGAGCCGAGGCAGTGCCAGGCCGTGCCCGCGCCTCCCTGGGAGCCGGGACAGCCCCTGCGGCCACACAGCCTCCCTGGGGCCTCCCCGGGGCTCCCCTGTCCCCAGGGTCACGGCCAAGCCCAGGCAGCCCCACCGCGGGGCTCCGCAGCTCCGGCTCACTGCAGGACGCACACGTCCCCGGGCTCATCCTCCTCGCGTCCGGCTCCCTCGGGCAGCTCCGCCTCTGCCGGCGCCGCCTCCTCTGCGGCCACCACCTTCTCCCGCAGCTCCATCA